GGTGTGGATGGGGGTGGGGGGGGGGGGGGGTGCTAACACAGAATCCAAAAATTCTTGTGACAGGAAAATTTGTCTAAAAAACAATCTTAACTATTCTATTTCATCAGGGACGATCTTAAAACAGGGCTTTAATTGTAAAATACCGAACTTGTCCTTTAATTCCGAAAAGACAAATAATACATTATATTTTGGTCATTTATATTAAATACAATATAAAATGAATGATACTATTACATGGACTGAACGAATGTCTGATATCTCGTGTGTGTCCTGACGCAGAATATTTAGAACGGCCAGGAAGCCTGTTTCCAGTAAACCACTACTGTAAATAACTGTTGCCTGACAGGGCTACGTGCAGACATGGATGCAGGTCATGAGGACGTGCTATTTTGTTCCATAACAAAAGGTTTGCAAATCTCTATTTTGCCATGTTCCCTCATTGAAGCAAATCAAACAGGTCAAACAAAGTCCAGTTCACAATGACAATTATAAAGATAATTAAAACAAATAATATTAGCATCCACACATTCTTTTCATTATAAGCTGTGGCACGCGCTGCGGTTTTGCCATCTGTAGTTTTAAATGATCGATGCTCAAGGTGGATACCAACCTGCACTATCAATCTGTACCTAATAAAGTGGCCAGTGAGTGTATAAATGTTTTGAGCGAGGAGAGACCAACTCAAATACAGCGCTTCATGGGAGTGGGCAGTTCTTTTAGTGCAATTTGCTTGTCACAATTCTGATTGGTGAGGTCCGTATGGTCTGAAGTGAATGAGATTTCTTTGGAGAATCATGGGTAATGCAATTTTTCATGTTAAACATGATTATTTTATAATAAAATACAAGGATGATGTTTTCTTCAAAACACAAGCATTTACCATTGATTAACAACCTCCTAGCTCACAGTAGGTCAGTCATGAAAGGTTTATAAGTTAGCTTTAAAATCAATTCCCCTATGAAGAAATTTAATCATTATTATCATCTTAACCGTAAACACACCCATTCTTCGATTAAACAGCTCCTTACATCTACACCTTTATGGTCAGATCATGTGATTTCCAGTAAGGCTGGCTGTTGGTGTTGTTTGCTCATTGTAAATGTAGATTAAGTTGGAATTCAGGTTAAGAAAACAAACTATGGCACAGGAGTTGCCCATGCCAAGCGTGCATCTGGTTCCCAGATGAGTTCTGCAATACCATTGGACATGGTACCACGTCTATATCCTGTTTCCAAATGCGATTTAACTTGCTCTTATTTGTTTACAAGTCTGCACAGTGAACACACAGTTTCTTCTGAAAGGATATGCGAGTCAGGTAATAAATTACAGGAAAGCTGAGACATGATCTGAACTGAAGTCATAAATCAGGAAAACTGTGACAGTCATTCAGAAACTTGAACAGTGGTTCAGCAAACATCATGATCTAAAGTGCAACAAAACCACAATATCAGTCCCAGTACACATATGTGGGCCTACTCTAAAACATCATTCTTACTGTGTGTCCTGAAATGAAGAAAAGTTATTTTCAGGACATCATGGCCTTATCACAACCCCATCCAGAAATTCCCATCTGTTGCATGGAAATTACCATCTTTTTTTCCGCATGATCCACATAAAAGCACTTTATTAATCTGAGGTTTGACTTCAGAGTCTGCATGTGAATCTATATTTAAATATGGGAGACCCAGTTAAGATGATGCAAGTTCATGGTTCACATAAATACTTTACCTGCTCTATTAATCTATAATGTCTGCTGAAGGCACAAAGAAGGTAGTGATTAAGTGTGAGAATAGCAGACAGATGGATTTGTTCTAATGGTGTCATGAAGGGCAAGGACAATACAAATAATAACAGTTCCGGATTACTGGGCAAGTATAAATAAGATACTTATAAACCTTTAAACCAAACCTTTTTTCCACACATCCGTTGTTATTTAGGTCAAAGGATTGGCCTATGTGTCAAATCAAACACCAGCCTAAAGTATCAACAATTCATGTCCCTTATAGTTAAATGGCTTATAAATTCAATATGTAGGCCTATGTTTGTTTCATGGCTGAGAAATCATGATAATCCCACAGTTGTTTATAAATTTAAAGCCACAATAGGCTATGTAACTTTTGTCCCTATCGGTTAAAAATTAAAACCGCATGCCATGAGTCAGTCTTGTGGAAATATTTTGGTTCTTCTCTGGGGTTCGAGCCGAGGCACCAATGTAAACAGGATATCTTATCAGAGCGGATGGACAAATAAATAACGGCTTCTTTGTTTTTACAACCGGCCATCCCCGGAGGTTTGTTGTGTTTAATGGCCCATCATTTTGTCTCGTTCGTCGTGACAACAAGCTTGCAGTTTGCAGTCGCTACAGACAGCCGGAACTATTTTTCTGTACAGACAGACATGACGTGATGTGACGTCACAATCACTTCGCACGAAATCCATCCTGACAGCTTTAAAGCTTCATTACAACACAACAGAATAGACGACGTGTAATTGGGTAAGGTAAACACATTAGCCAACTAATATCATTCTTTTTTCCATCAAAAAGTTACATTTGTACAGTTTCCTTATTGAGGGGGCTATGCGGTTTAAATTTAGGCTACTTCTCTCTATAAACAATTTTGGTAAACAGTCCAACACGTCATATCCGATGTAAAAGTACGTGCATGTTGGATCCCTTAGTAGGTCAGTGTTGAGGTATTGTCAAAGGTTGGTTTACCGAAGTCATTTTCTGTAAACACGGAAAACTCTAATTTACTTGCACACTGCTGCTCGTCTTGTGTAAACTGACAAGGGTCTTTCAGTGCTGGTGCATCACGTCACTCTTGGACATCTCCTCCTTTAATGACTTAATGTCATTTCAACTGGCTAGCACGCGATAGGGAATAGCTGAGATGTTTTTGTGACATTGCAAAAGCGCTATTGGAGACCAAGCCTGTCTGTGATGCTGCTGAAGGGCTCTTGGCAACCAGCCAACAATCAGCGTCTCTCAGGCTCAATCTCTAAAACAAAATAACAAGCACGCGCACGCAGTGTAAAATAACAGCAGTGACGCGAGCGCCATCTAGCGTCGCACCTTCGAATAAATACAGAACAGATATGACGTTAAACCAACGCATTTGAGATATTAAGGCCTGGTTTCACAGACATGATCAGGCCTTAGTTCAGTTTGGACATTTAAGAGACTTTTATGTGCTGTAGAAAAAAAAAGAAAAAGGAAAAAAAAAACATTACTGGTGTGCATCTTGAGACAAAACTCACTGGCACCGACATATTTTAAGATATGCTAGTTTATTTAGTACATGTATTTACATAGCTCACATGTATTTTAGTCTGGGACTTGTCTGTAAAAACGGTAAATATATGTGTGTAGGATACTCACGATTTTACACATTGTACTATTACTTGTATTATATGCCTACATAATTATTATTATACACAATAAATAATGGGTGATGTGATCCCACAGTTTCAAGCTTAACGTCTTCGGTTTGGCATAATGAGAGAAGGAGCGCTAAGACGAAAGAAATCAAACAATTAGCTACCTCTGGTGTACATTCACAGTCAATTTTTAAGCCAAATAGTTAATTAAAATAGATTGTGCAAATAAAAACATCTAATTTACAAAACATAAATCAGTCTCATACTGAGAGTTCAACATGCTGACATTGAATGACATATTTTACAGAGGGTTCATTCAGCAGCTTATAATAACTGGTTGTTGACATGATATGTAATTTACTGCACTCATTGAAAAGTAGAACCCATTTCTCTTTCCTTATATTTTTAGAACTTGTCTGGACATCACAGATCACAGATTTTGTCCAATACATAAAATTATGTATTCAAATGCATAGCTTTCATATTTTAACCATCCAGCAGTAAGCAAATGTGGAAATTGTCCTCTAATGTACAACTATCCCTTAGTTTCAACATTAACAGAAATAATATTCATATTTATATATGAAGAGTTCAGATGCAAAAGCCTCTAAAAGCCATTTGAAATGTTCTTCTTTAATGATGATTTTTATCAAACTTGTATATTTAAGTTCAGTAATTTCACTTAAATAACAATTAATAGGTCATTGCCATTTAAGTGAAATCACTGAACTTAAATATACAAGTTTGATAAAAATCATCATTAAAGAAGAAAATTTAAAATGGCATTTAGAGGCTTTTGCATCTGAACTCTTCATATGAAGAAATCTGATGCAAAAGCCTCTAAAAGCCACCTCTGTCAAAAATGAGATAATAGTATTTAGTGAATGCTCTCATAGTATACGTACATCAAATACTTTCACTTCAAACTCACTAAATCCCTCCTTCAGCCCATTGGAAATGCCGGTACTTGGGTAGAAACCTATACAAAGGAACTACCTATTTTTTTTAATATATATATATATATATACATGTATAAATATATAAATATATATATATAAATATATATACATGTATAAATATATATATGTATAAACACACATATATATATATACTATTTAATGGGGTCATAAAATTACTGGTAATTAATTTATTTAAAGACTTTATAACCATTTATTGAGTCCTGAAGAGTGACAAAATCTAATCCACAATCTCTTAAAAATGTTGCCAATCAGGACTTGAACAGCTTTCAAAGAATTTTTAAAAAGGGAAGTTTTACCTCCAACTATTAATAGATGTGTATCGTTTATGTGAAGCAACTTCCTCAGTCATCTGGTGTGATGCATCCATATTATTGCAAGAAAGATTACCATGATTACCAGATTACCAAACATAAAATAAAATTTGAATATGTCAAAGAAGTTTAATACATGGAATATTTATATTTTTAAAAATCCATTTTGTCACACTACAGGACTATTGAAACAAACTAGCAAAAAGTTGATCAAAAGTGGTGGAAAAACTTGGTGACCATCTAAATGAAAGAAAGAAAAAAAACATGTCCATTTGTGAAGATACCAAGTGACAATGTTCATAGGGGTCATATTTGAGTTTGGCACAAGTGGTGGTAATCCCATACAAATTCATTTATTATATTAATAAATGTATGTACTGGTTTTTAGATGCATTTCTTGAATAAACACATGTGGATGTAATGTTTTTGCACAATCAATCAGAGCTCGGTGAATGCAGGATTATTTGATCCACACAAAGCCAATTTGTGTCCCAAAGTTGAGTCCATCCCTTACATGGGAGAAGAATAATTCAGGATGGCATGAAGTGCACAGTGTGGAATCAGACAGATGTGGGATCCTGATGTCCTCGATGTGTGCAGGAGTAATCCCACCTCTCTCCAGCAGAATTCTAAAAGACAAAGCATGATTGGTTGGTTGACATGATAGATAAATGCAAGATAAAGTAACATTCTTAAAATTGTCTTAAAGAAAAATAGTTTTAAAAACCTATACTTACTTTTTTTTTTTTTTAAGAAATTATAATTTCTAAAAAAATTAAAATGTATAATATATATTATAATTTATATTATAATTTCTAATGCAAGCTACTTAAAGTGCTTTACAGTTAAAACAACCTTGACACAGTGTTATTTTAATATTATTGAGATTACAGACAGCAACATAATGTCTGCCCAGAAGTGGGCCGGATCTGGGCCGACACAATGTTGCTGTTTGGGATACTATTATAGGTTTTATTAATATAATATATATTTATTAAATATATAATAATATATATAATATATATATAATTTATAATATATATATAATATATATAAATATATAATTTGCTATAAGATTTTATTTTAACATTCTCCTTTTTTATTTGAATTTTACTTAAAATTGTATGAATTTTACTAAACTAGTTATTTTAGTACATTGTTATTTTAGTACCGGCTTTAGCGTGCATACATATGCGTGTTTACTTTCCCCAGAGAAATCATCAGTATTTGTTTCTGCTAATATTCGAACAGAGATTTCCTTTTACATAAATCACCTTCCTCCTGGAGGTGTTCATTACTGTGAGTCACTTCAGGGAATGAAATGACCTACGTGAGTGACACAGGGGACTGAGGGATCAATAAAACAGTTTATGGAGTACAGTTGAAGTCAAACCAGGATTCCGCTGGTTGACCTTTGACCTTTACCTGGTTGCTAGTCTGATGTCGACATAAGGTGTAGATGAGTCCATGTTTCTAACACAGTCTGGGTGTATGGCATGAAACTCTCTAGCCGAATCTTTCTCCAGAGTAAAGCAGCATGGCCCAACAGAAGGCCCGATCACACACACAATGTCTTCAGGCCTGCTGCCAAACTCCGACACCATGGCTTTCACTGTTGCCATGGCGATTCCCATTAGGGTCCCCTTCCAGCCTGGGACACACACAAGAAATACCAGATAAACAATTGTTACATTATGCTATAGCTGGTCACATCATTTCTGGCATAGATGTTATGTATGAACACAGAAAACGATTATACTGTATAACTCTGAAATAGCATGGACAAGGAGTATGTAAGCACAGCACTGAAAAAAAACTGAATTTCAGATAAAACACATTGATTTATATGTCTGTCTGTCAGTCATGAATTTGCAGTCATGAATTTTCTGATTGAAAATGCACTCATTTGGAACAGCCCATCATTCAGAAGAAAACTTGAGTCACACTTGAGGTATGAAGAAGACATAATATTCTTATGCAAATAATGTACTTTCATTTAATATAATTCATTTATATAAGTGTGTACTGTATATAACGTGTGTTTATATAATATTAAATTGTTATTCATTTAAATCAAGTAAATTTAGATTTTTTTTTAAATTTGAAAACACAAAACTGAGTGATAGATATCTCGTATGAAAATAACGCAATTTTGTTAGATATGTATTTTATCTTGTTTTAACCATACTGTAACTGTCGCGTCTCATGCACTTTATACCCCTCAAACAACCACGTTCAAAACTATGGAAGCCTGTTTCCACCACGGAAATAAAAAATATTGACAATTTTGACTTTTTATCTTGAAATTGCGAGAAAAATTCTATATAGATATAACGAGATATAGATATAAACTATTTTTTTTCCCTCAGGATTCTGAGATATAAACTCACAATTGTTACTTTTTTCTCGCAATTGTGTTTATCTCACAATTCTGACTTTATAACTCGCAGAAAAAAAGAATTGCGACATAAACGTATTTGTGCGAAAAAAAAGTTTATATCTCACAATTCTGACTTTATTGCAATTGTGATTTTGTATCTCGTAATTCTGACTTTATAATTCACAATTTCCAGTTTTTATCTCACAATTCTGTGAAAAAAGAATTTTTACCTTTTTAAAAAATACATTTATTCAGTGGCGGAAACAAGCTTTCATACAAAACACACCTGGGACTAAATATACAACACAGTTAAAACAATTTTGGTTGAATTTATGATTCTTATGAACTTTTTTTGTAAATGCTTATGCTTGAATGCTTGAAATTAGTTTAGTGCACAAATATTAATTGCCTTTATGAATTTATTATTTTTTATTTACATTATTTTTAAATAATCTAAAAAGTATTTTAATTATTACATATATTATTATTAGTGTTAAAGCTGTAAAACCTGATCTATGAAATAATAGTAAGAAAATATGTTTATTTTAAATGAAACCGTTTATAAAAAAAGCATTGTATATATATATATATATATATATATATATATATATATTTGCATGTGTGTTTAATAGTTTGTTTATGTTTTATGGCCCTTGTATGATACCCAGAATATGGAGCTCATACAGTAATAAGGAGGAAAGAACACATCACTTTTATTCAGACCCAAATTGTGTAAAAATATGCATTTTGGTGCATATGTATTTATTCCAGCTATTTTAGTACTAGAGTGAAGTGCAATGACGGGTGGGTAAATTTCCTTCACTTCCTTTGAAATTTTATTATTCTCTTATCCCCTCTTATGGCGTTCACAGTGTCATAAAAACTAGTACATGTCAAATGGAACACACCCATTGATTCAGATTATATGAACACATACGTCCCACAGAACTCTTCCCTTGAATTGAATCACTAATGTTATGCAGACCAACCCATAATATATTAATTACATTATTAAAGTGAAACCTGTCAAGAAAATCATATTTTACTTTAAAATCAAATGAACAGAAGTAGAAATGATGTATATTTTTAAGAAACTCAAATATAGGAGCATTAAGATTTTTTAGCATTGTGACGAGACTAACCTGCATGTGCCACTCCAATGACCTTTCTCACGGGGTCAGTGAAGAGCAGCGGCATGCAATCGGCCCCTGGAGCTGCTATGACAACTCCAACCTGATTGGTCACCATCCCGTCGTAACTGTCGGGGGCCGGTTTGCCCATCACCCACACGTCACTGGCATGATTGCACTGAAGTCAATGTGAAAAAAGAATGTGTAGTGTGAAAGATCAGTGAGTGAGCCAGAACGTTTTTGGCAGAAATGCAGTGTGTTTAAAGTTATGATATGCTGCTTGCTCCTAGACTGACTTCCTCATATTTTCTCTGTGGTAAAGTACCTTTATGAGGTTGAACTGCTGAGGGCTGAAGCCAGCCTGCAGGCCGAGCCGGCGCAGGTTTTCGGACACCACAACTCTGGGGTCTTTGCGCCGAGGGTTACAGAAGAGGTTCAGTGAGCTCAGGGTGTTGATGTAGGAGATTCCTCCGGCCCGAGTGGTGAAGCCATGACCAAAGCAGTCTGTGAAGGAAATAGATATTAGCGACTTCTTTGTCTCTGCTTTTTCTCTGGACACAGCAAACACTCGCTGGCTGTATTTCCTTTACTTTCTGTTCCGATTATCCATTAATCCCACAATGCCTAACTGAACATAATTTAATTCACAAATTTCTAATGCCTACACAATCTACTACATGCCTTCTGCCCACTAAATAGTTCATACTTTCTCACATATATATATATATATATATAAAGGCTGTTTAGTGTAATTGTAAAAACGTCCCCTTTCAGGTTGTGTCTTTTTGCAGTGAAATGTTGTAAAACGTAATAACTTTTATACTGTTTGAATATTGCAGAATGAACACTTACTGGACTGAAGAAACTTAGGCTTACTTGATTATACATACATATTTTTTTTTAAATCTTAAAATATATGTATCAAATATTTTAAGCATTTATTTGTTCATCGCTCTATTTAGCATACACTGATTTGATCAGAAAACTATTTGAAGTACAGAGAGACAACTGATATAGTGATCTCACTGATTTAATTTACTTTTTGGCCTTAAAAAAACAACAACATCTCCATCAAACTGCATATTTTTGCTCAATTTGAGTCTATGAATACAATTATTTCCTTCTCAATATGAGCTCCATATTCTGCTATATCATACAAGGGCCATAAAACACAAGGGCCATTTTTTCCCTGTGTTTAATGAACGGTTCCATTAAAAAATATTGTTTTTCTTAAAATTATTTAAATGTCAGGATTTACAGCTTTAATCATAATAATAATATTTTAATCAATAATTTAATTTATTTAATTTTTAATAATGGTTCCATTTCAAAACACATTTCTTACTATTATTTCATATGCCAGGATTTACAGCTTTAATAATAATAATATGTTTATAAATAATTTAAATAGAATTTTATTTATTTAATAAATTCGTATGTAGACAATTTATATGTGCACTAAACTAATTTCAAACATTTAAGCATAAGCATTTAAAATAAAAGTTTTAAAGATCATAATAATAACAAATTCACAGAATACTTGTAACTGTCAGTATTACTCAATATTTATTATTCCAAATTCATTTATGCCAGCCCTCAATCTGATATAGGCTAGTTCCTGTGTTGTAGACAGTGAACATAACTTTCACATTTTTACTATATTACTAGTTCAATAAAAAGCATGCAAGCAAATCATTATGAATAGTACATACTTAAGTATAAAAAACGCGTATAATGTGATCATGAAGACGAACACTGCCAACCTGAAATTACTGAAGACTTGAGAAGTGTAATATCTCCTTTGACCACTGGGAGGCGCTGTAGAAACGCGCAGAGCTGGTGTTTAGCGGCAGCTGCCTGCTGAGTGCTGATGATGTCTGTGCAGAGACCCAGGGGACACGAGTCACAGGACACACTGTCAAATATCATACTGTACTCAAAATGATATGCAGAAGTGAAGAGGAGCTCCTGATAGACCTGAAACAATGCTCTCCCGTGACTCGAGGTTATTATCTTCACATGACTAATGTCCTCTTTGTCTATAGCCTGTTTGAATGCGTATAACGAGGCTGAAAGAGAGCTTTTGCACAAGACCTGTGGGGAATTGCTGAAACCGATAAACATCTCCAGAACAGAGCTTCTTGGAAATCTGTCAGTCCCCACGGAGCTCTCTGGATCCGCTATGACGAAGACCGGTTCCTGTGAGCCATTGCCTGTCAATGCACAAAACTTGCTGATGCGCCTTTTCACACAGATGTCGTATTCTGAACTGCGGATATGTGTGAGATCCACGAGAGTAACTGCAGACATTATCGCACACAGACACGCTTGCCTCGCTCTCTCTGGGGTGGAAGTTATGTGGACGTGCAAACATACCACATCGGGTTATATGAGTTACAAACGAGGAACTTTTTTTTTATTTACCACGAAAATAAAATTTCCTCTGTCCCAAACACTTCCTGAAAAAAAGTGTGGCGCCGCCCTCAGTGGAAACTCCTCATCAGACGAGCGCCTCATGTACAAACATTGATTTATTTCTCACGCTACGTATTGACATTTCTCAGCTCAGATACAGAATTTCCAGCAGTTGCTACAGTTTTTTTGCGTTTTCATTTTACCCGTTGGTTGGCTCTGCTTTACACACACACACACGCGCGCGCGCACACAAACTTTTATTTTAGATTCAGGAGGCTGAAGGCTAAAGGTGTACTGAGTATAAGGCACATCCATCCATCATAAAAGTTTATCCATAAGGCTCCAGGGGGTTGATAAAGGCCTTCTGAAGCAAAGCGATGCAATTTTTGTAATAAAAATATACATATTTATAAACTTTATTGACTATAATCTCTGGCTTAATGGCCATACACAAGGCTATAGGCCTAGTTCGGAAGAGTACATTTAATCAAAATACTTTGCCACGGGGAAAGATAACAATACGCAGACTCAGAGGCCTTCTCCCGCTGATAGGATGCTGAATTTTGGGCTGATCGAGCCAGGCCTTAGCGGAGAGCGGGGCACAACGTAACACTTTTTGACTTTGTCAATTTGTGTAAATCTGCCCAGCAAACACAGAACGTTCCCCTAACGTTCCCGAATGGTCCCATGAGGTTATTTTTTGTTTTGTTTTGGGAACCAAACAAGAACATTATAGGAACGTTCCATGTAGGCTATTTTTAGGTTCCATTTTTATAACGTATGGAGAATGTTCCGGGGACGTTCCCTTAAACTTAAGGGAAAGTTCTTGGAACGTTCTGGGAACCAAAAACTAACGTTTCCAGAACCTAAATTTGTTTGCTGGGTACTTACAGCCCATTCTCACCCCCAAGGCGTCACTTAATTGGACATGCTTCAATATCTGACGCTTTAGGCGCCCTTTAGCGTCAGTAAGATGACGCCCTAGGATCGCGTGTACCCTACCCCCACCCCACACCTAAACCTAACCGCGTCCTCTAACTGACGCTTTCCTTTAGCATCAGTTAGATGACGCCGTAGGATCGCGTCATGTAAGTGACGCTAAAGGGCGCCTAAAACGTCAAATATTGAAGCATGGTCAAAGGTGACGCCTTGGGGTGAGAATGCGTTGGTACTTAGGGTTTAGAGAATTTTTTCCCCCACATTAATTTCCCACATGTCTAGTACAATTATGTGGTTTTGTTTTTATTAATACAGTGTATATTTTTTCTTGATTTACCCTGAAAGAATGGAATTGAAATGTGACAACATGCCCCATAGGTGACAACATGCCCCCCTCGGGGGTTAGAGATATGGCCTCTTCTTGGGCGTGGTCCAGCAGAATCTCTATTACAGATATCTGTGTGCTGTCCACTTTCAGTCTAAAATGTCTAAAAGTCTAAAATTGCGTACCATGTAGTCAGGCTCCGACCACAGTCTGAGCTTCTCATTATGCAGCTGATCACGAGGCTCTCAAGCGAGCGCCCCTTAGCTGACGGCTCGCAGAACGGCTTTCGCTTTGCTCTCGTAGCATGGTGCTATTTGATTAAGCCATAACCGTTTGTGAACTAACACATTGCGAGTAAAACGTATTGAAAGGGAAACATTAATGGTTTCTTATGCAACCCTGGTTCCCTGGCTGAAATGTCATTTTTCTGTGAACCAATCAGGATTCAGAAAACTGTGTTTTCCCATGTCCTTTCCCAATATCTCAGGGAACCAGGGTTACATGAGTAACCATAAACAATTTCCAAAGTTTGCTATAGCCTGTCAGATATTAGTAATTACGTGATGATTATTGTTAGAAGTTATTGTTCTACTGTGGTGCACTGATCCCAAGAGAAACCCCCAGGAAATAACTATAGAAGTTATCATATTTTTTCTATATTTCACAGAAACTCCTGCATCATTTTACCATTTGAATAATGTCATTTATGGAGAACATAAATTTATCAGAGGTCGCATGCACGCCTCTGGAGTAACAAGGGGTTATGTGTCTTGCTCAGTTTTTGTGAAAACTTTTTGCTCAGATTTTGTGAAAATCATCCTTATAAAAAAAAAACTCATTATATTTCTGTAGCTGTTGGGTAACAAGTGAAATTCAGGCCAGTTTCAGGTAATAACTTTAAACAAAAAACAGTGAATTGAATTCAACCGTTAATAAGTGTTTTATTTAAGATTTCCTGAAAAGCCTTTATGTTTCAATACAGATGTGTTGAAATGTATTTTTTATTACTTTATAGTAAATTTCACATTTCCCCAAAAGGTATAATACTCAAATCAGTAGGTCTATAAATAAACAGCAGGTTTCCACCATGAAAACTTTCCACATTTACAACAAACAGTTAAATGAACTATATTTGATCCATAAAATGAGCGCTATGTTCAGAAATGCTACCATCAGAAGAATCTGAACTTCATTTACAATAGGCTTTTTATTGAAATAGCCAGCCCATATGTTTCATGACATGGTTCATGTTAGTTCATAATAATATGATAACTAATGAGCATTGTAAACAGTTTTTAAACATGTCCCACCACTTTACCTGAAACTATTTACTGTAAAATGTCAAGCTAAAATGGGACAGGACAATATAATTTAGGTTAAGGTATTAGATTAAAGGTTTAATTTTGTTGAGTTATATTCTCTAAGAACGGATTTCATATACAGTATGAGTGAAATTCCCATGTATTTTCTTAGATCAATTAGCCTATTGAACAAATTCACCAGACTGATGTCATGCAAATTAAAACATTTTCAGAATGACAATAATAATCGTTGCCTTTGACTTTTTTCTGATAGTCAAAGACCAATTAGTCAGGAAACTTTTTTCCACTTTACCTTATCATTGTTCAATCACTTCCTCGTAATTTTATGACGAGTCATAGTTGATCATTTGATAGGCTAACTAAAACAAAATACCGACGTGTGCAGCCGTAGCCAACAGGGGGAGTACAATAACCAGATATATGCAATAACCTCTCTGTTGAAAATCACTCACACTGTATCTGTGATCTTGAGCTTTGTGAATTTAATTTAAAATGAAAAGACAAGCACTTAACGGATCACAGTAACTAATTCTATACGTGCATCATAGGCTACACGTCACAAGACTAAATCTTGAAAAGTTTTAGACAAAGCAAATTTAGACTAAGACTCACACCAAATTTCAGTTTCAGTCATCATGTCAATAGTAAGTCATGCAGTGAATATTGAAATTAGGCTACTGTATAAAATGTTTTAAATAAAAAAAAATCTCGTGTAAGAACTTTGTTTTTTTTTTTCTTCTGACAAACAGATATGGCACATAACAGTTGACTCAATCGTGACTTTAGATTCTTTGCCAGTTTATTTATTTCTTTATTTATTTTAAATATGCAATAGTTTTATCAAAACGCACATGAACTGTTCAGTGGAGGCAGTTCGCACTTCGCAGTGGCCTCGTGCACGCTGATCCGTGTCGCGCGCGCCTCAGTCTCAGTCAGTCTCTCGCTCTCAGCGCGTGGAAGCAGCAGCAGCAGCAGCAGCAGCAGTGCCGTCAGATGCAGCAGCACTGAAGAGCAACGACAACCAGGGTTTCGCTATTCAGCTTCATTCACCTTTATTTTGCAGGATTACTCCACCGAATCGCACCGAAGCGCGGAAGAGGCTTGATTCAGACCGGTAAGAGTCGTTCTTCATTCTTCAGTGTTGCTGTTGTCTGTATTCGCTCCTTGTGTCCGTCCCAGTCCTGATAGCGCCTGCTAGTTCCCATTCTTCTCATTTCATCAGACTGAGCTGAGCTCCATCACACTGTTTCCTCCTATCGAAGCATAACATTTACGAGCCGCGTGTTTACTACATTTAGTCAACATTCTCTATATATTATCTACACTGCGCGCGTTTCACTTGAGACGGAATTTATTTTATTAACTTACTTGTTGAAATACTTGTTGAGACAGAATGATTATTGTAAGCGATTGTGTGGTGAATAGTATATCAGTTTTGAAAGTTCAACGCGCAAATGTTTTGTTTTGGATACACAGTTCACTGGAAAGAAAGCTACACAGACTCATTGAAGGACCTTATTTAGTGATGAGAAACGAAAGACGGTCACAAACAATAAGTTTCTCCGCTTTGGTATGTTTTGAAAATGGCTGAAGACAAGATACGTTGTTTACATTCTGTTGAGAAGTGTTGAATGTCGTCACATTTGTGTAGTTTGTGTATTAATCGCTGGGGTTTCGCGAGCGTCAGATGGTTTTCTGTAGAAACGCCGATGCCCTTGATATCGTCATGTCACCTGGGCAACCGCTTCAGCACCATGGAGAGAGTTCGCGGCTCAACGCTATACGCAATTTAAAAAGCAAAGTAAAGTTATTTACTCTCATCTGTTAGATCTCTCAGGGAGCTGATTATACACGTTGGTATTATGTTTGTTCTGTGTTTATAAGTACGTTTCATATGACACTAATCTTACAGCAAACAAACAAAACAATTTGTTTTTAATTCATTTATACCTACTTACTATGAAATCAAAATGGACAATTCTCTTTTTTATGGAATATAGCAGTTTATTATAAATGATTTATCTGTGCACATCATCATTTTTTTGTTTGTTTATGTGCCATTATAATCTTTAATCAAATAACTTTTCTTTCTTCGTCAATCACATGACATCACAGCAATAGCAAAACACAACGATCCCATCAATGATGGTCAAAATCTAGTCCACCCTATCTTTTCTGGTTCGAGAAGCCGTTTCACTCATATATACATTACAATAGAGAAAAAACAATTATTACAACTTCTGTTTCATGCTGACTTTAAATTAACATCCTAAATATGTGGCTAATGATTTCTTTTAAATGACACTTTGTTTTGGCTCTCAGATTTTGCTGGTTCAATAAGTAGGTGATTTGTCTTGATTAAAGGTCCTGTCACATTTATTTACCTTGACACAGTGAAAGCAGCACGTATCATTCTAAGTGTGTGTATTATGTTTATATCGTTTCGCGATCACTGCGCTATGTGCTTCTCTCACTATTGTGCACTGAGCAGAAATCAGGAGTGGATTTAGAGCCGAGTGATTACAGAGCACTTTCAGCAGGGAAGGCCAAATATCTGTCACTCCGCTCCACTCAAATGCTGTTCCAGTCCGTATTTCAGCCTGTGCGCTGCTTACGTGTATAAGGTTTGATGCTTTAATTGGCTTCTTTTGGAAGCATTTTTGTTGACCGATAAATACAAACCAGCTGGACAATTTCTGTCCTAAATTTGAATTGCTTGATTTGAATTACTTGCATGTTGAACCGAGCGGTTGTATAAGCACATTGCTTTATATGCAATGGCTTCCACTGAACAATGAATGCAACTGTAGTAATACAGCATGTAATATCACAAAAATGCCAGTGAAATTAAGGATTAGAAATGGTTTGATTTCATTCAGATTGGAATATAAACAATAAAACAGCCTGCACATTTCTGTTAACCTATTAGTTACAGTGAAAGTGCTCAGAAGAAACCTCAAGGGGCTGTCATTGTTATTAGGCACTGAAGTTGGAATGTGTTATAGTTATAACATTATTTTCCATTCGGGGTCAGTGAAGTACCTCAACAAGAACCGGTTTTGAAATGATAGCAAATTAGATATTTATGGATGGCCAAGCAAAATCAGGGCAAAATCCACACTTTAATCAGAGCTGACAGTTGGACCTACAGTAAAAAGAAAAAAATGATATTGAATACTGACTTTATGAATGCTTGGCCAGCTATTTATTATGATACATGAATAATACTTGTAGTTATGGGTGCAAAAAGCACAAGAGATTTGACTCTGGGCCCAAATCTGCATCTTAACTTGTTTCTCTGCACATGTTTCTCTGAAAGTAATTCATGGTAATAAGCATTCCCATCTGTATTGACTTCATTGCAGATTCATGAAAATGAAGCAAAGCATCACTTTGTGATGATTTAGCATTTTGCCAATAATACAATTTAGATCTGAAAGCTATTACAAAGCTTAAGAAAAACCTGGGAACATTCCCTCACACATTTATATTGTTTACAAATGCAGTCATACTATAAAGAAAGCCATGATGTCTTCCCTCTCAAATTAAATAACCCTCAATAACGGAATGGGCATTCCAGTGTGGTCCAATGCTTTCCACAGGCTCTGTTTTTCAATTGGTTTGAAAGTGAAAGGTCTCAGTGCTGGCCAGTATTTTTTTCCATCCATTAAAAGTAAGTCCAATTAGGCCAATGTGCAGATCATTCTTTTATAGTCGCTTTTCTCATTATTCTTTGCTTGTAGCGGAGCAAAACATAGATCATCTGAAGAAAATTATAGTCACCAGGTGTTTGTGTTGCACATAAATATAGGTCGGCTTGAATGCAGACACACCGGGCCGTCCCAAGCATGGGGTGGTTGCACCAATTGCACTGCTCTAAGTACAGCCCTGCAGACACACAATCTGTTTGACTGTGTGTTTGAGTAACTGCTAAATCCTTTCTCCTCTCATATGTTATGTCACACTTTCACTTACAGATTTAGAACACTGTGACGTTAATGCATGCTTTTCCTCAGCTGGCCCCTATACCAGCTGTCTCCTCAGTTTAGCAATACTAAGCGTTTTTAGCATTAACTAATCTAGACCCCCTACTTTAACACACGATCAGTTGTGCCGTTGACGAGACGGTAGTTGGCCCAATGTGGCGTGTCCGAATGGCTGTGGTCACACTTGTCTTCTGAAGCTACTGGATCTCAATGGATCTCAAAGCCTCCTTTGATGTTAGGATGTTTTTCTGGGACGGCTTTTCTGCCACAATAAGCTGCGTTATCCTTTGGAGGGAGGGGGGCTGTGAGCCCCGAAGTAAGGCTTGGCAATAAATCAAGTTATAATTTAATTTATATGGAGATCAATGGAATAAAGCGGACAGGAAATGCAATTTGCTGCCTTTCAGATCTCTGAATAAACATGGCTGGGTTAGTGCAGGACATGAGGAGCCGCTTCAGTGAGAGTCAAACTGGTGGGTCGCAAACCAAAAATGGGTTGCAGACTTGCTTACTGGTTGCAAACTGAAAAAAAAAAAGTTTTCAATAAGGTCTCAGATGTGATGTATTAGCTAACATAAACTAACAATGAACCATGTAACATTTTTTGTTTGTTATGTTTTATCTTTGTCAATGTTAGTAAAAATGTAATGTTCATTGTTTGTTCATGTACATTAACTAATGTTCAAAAAAGCTTTTGATTTAAAAAAATATATATATTAGTGCATTTTGAAATTTGAACATTAACACAGATTAATAAATAATGTAGAAGTGTTGTTCATTTTGAGTTCATGTTAACTAATGAACGTTATCGTAAAATGTTTGGTGTAGGGTTTAGTTTTTGCTCAGAAATTGGTAGTACATTTAGCTAATAATTACAAATAAATTGTAAGTTACACTGAATGAAAAGTAAAATGCTGTCGTAGAAAGAATACAAAAGTATTTTCATGTAAATTTTCTAAAAATCAGACTTTATAATGCAGACAGCTTGAGGGAAATGCTAAATGCAAGGAAATAAATGCAACTAAAGAACTAAGGGTTTCACTTTATTTTGATGTTCCTTTGACACATTCTGTTGACTATAAGTAACGTTTCACCTACATCTCTACTAACTCTCACTTGAGTGTTAGTAGAGTATTAGTAGACTGGTAGGGTTATGGATAGAATAAGTTGACATGTAGTTGCAAAGTTACTTATAGTCAGTAGATTGTCTGTTGGAGGAGCATCACAATAAAGAGTTGGCAGATATTAAGCGGACAGTCTACTGATACTCTAATGAGAGGTAGTTGACATATAGTTGCAAAGTCAAAAGAGTTGTCTCTTTATATATAATTAATATAGACCATTTCACAAGATGTAAACAACACTGGTCCAGAAACACTTCCTGTTTCAGTTTGTAACTGTTTTCTTTATTTCACATGTAAAGAAAACATCTTAAAGATGTTTGTTTAACTTTTTGATTCAGTTTTATATGTTCTGTTGGTTGTATTTTATCCCAGCTTTTATGTAGTGTTAAAAAACTGAAACAGGAAGTGCTTCTGGACCAGTGTTGTTTACATCTTGTGAAATGGTCTATAGTTTATACTATTTAATATAGTTGTCTCTTCAAAAGAGACCATCAAAATAAAGTGTTCAAAATGAAGCAAGATTATATATATATATGTGAGGACATTTTTGCTTACTTTTACACAATAAAACAATTTTAGTGTTGGGTTGGCTCGCCAGTTGCCACTTGACGTCCATGTAAAATCTTATGTCTGAATTAAATCCAGTAAAGAATCACAGCTATACTAATTAAACGGCAATAAGGAGAAAAGGGGAAATGTTTTTCTTTTAAAGAGAGCTATTTACAATAATTAACTGTGAATGACTGTATGTGCCTTCTATTCAACTAGCTTTTGTTGTAATTACACATTTTAAGTGCTGAAGTTAATTGTCCATGTGTGGCGTTTACAGTCTTTTTTTCATTCTCGTTGATTGCTGAACGGCAGGGTTTTACTGGTAAAATGGATGATTCTTTCCTCCATCTCTCTTGGGTTTTCATGTCAGTTAGAAAGGCAAGATTTTGGCCACTGCACTGGAATCTTTTTTATTTTTTTTTATTTCAGGAGAGAGTGCTGTGTGACTTCAG